ATAGTTACACAGCAGGAAAAATGTGATAAGGACATAGTTGAGGTTGTCGAGTCCAAAGTTGAGGAATATTTCCTGTTTTCGAAACATTTTGTTTTGATTTATGCGACCTAACTATTTCTTAGGTCATCTACATTATCGGGAAATGGCCGTTCATGACAATGTGCAGCAGATTGCTGAATGTTACGGGCAGACGCTGGGCAGGACAGACAAAAACAAGCATGAAGTAAATATAGATCCATTCATATGGATAATTATACAATCCACTATGATGCATTAAGCTATAGTCAACCACATAATAACCAGCGAGAGAGCGAAAGCAGCAGGGAGTTCACTTTCTTACTTCCTTTTGAATGCGAGCCTGAGTGTGATTATTTCTGAGTAGGTTTGTTGATTACAGTTCACGGGTTCTCGTAGCTAATGATTTATAGAAGTAGTAGGGAGATTATCCGAAAATTGTGGAAGTCCTCACCAAGCACGAGACGTGCTTAGGGGTCCAATCACGGCAGCCCTGATTGAGCAAAATTATAGTTGATCTTCAAGCCTTAATTTAAATTTGCATGCGCTTGGGTGCGTCCGCCCCTGTGCTGCCTGAGATGTCTGATCCCGCCTCTCGCTGTTGAAACTACGAGAAAACATACTACATTGTATTTGGAGTGTGTGTATGGGGGGTTGATGTGCTTGCATGCATGAATTAACACTCATGTGAACACACAATCCACTATTACGCACAAATGCGAGAGAAATTATTCAAAGTTCCTTGGGTATTAATTGCTGGTTTATTTAAAATTGAGCAATTAAAAAAAAAGACTTTTTTGCATCCTGTTCGGAAACACGTAGCCGTGAAAGGTAAAAGGGAGTTGTTGAGAAAGAGGCACTTGGAATTTCAAGAGTATTAGAAATGTGTTCAAACTTGCCGAGTAAGTGACTCACACACACACATGAGAGATGAACACAGACAGATATAAAATGTTGAATTTGGAAAATGTAGAGGTTTAATATCACTGACGTACTTAAAACCGTTGCCTTTCGAGCTTGTGCCTATAAAGACTAGGCCTAGTTCACCAAAAATGAAGCTCTTGTCGTCATATACTCACCCTCATGTCGTTCCAAACCTGTATGACTTTCTGTCCTGGAGATATTCTGGAGAATGCACTGGTCACGCTTTTCCATGCAGTTAGAATGGGTGTAAAATGAAGGTTTCAAGCTTCAAAAAGGCAGAAAAAGCATCATAAAAGTGGTCCAGGCTCTATATTTTAAATCTTCTGAAGCCATAATCCATACGGCAAACATTGATTAAAAATTATTTATTTTGTGAAAATCTCATCAGTCTTAGTTCTCCTTGGCACAATAATGTCCAATTTATGAACAAGTAATTCTTTTTAAGCTGGATCTTTTCAATGAATTATCTGATCCAGTTCACAAACCCAGTGTGAATGATTTGTTCATGGTCCTTGAGCTCAACTCACTGACTCAATTCGGTCAAAACCATTAATGGCCTAGTAGAGTGTAAGAAGTTCAGTATTATGTATATATTATTATAGTATTTACTTTTTACTTTTGTTATTCTTATTTGTTCTTTTTTTATATTTCCATTCAGTTTTAGTAATTTTTAACATTGTCTTCAGAATCTCTTTTTGTGTTCCACAAAAGAAAAGTCATACAGGTTTGGAACGATAAAAGTGTGTGAAGTTTCATTTTTATGTGAAGAAAAAAGAAAGAAGCTCTGACTGTTTGTGTGTGTGCGTTAAGTCAGAAAGCTCCACTGTATGTTCACACTCATCCATTGCATCAGGTTTCAAACTTTTTGGTTAAGTTGGTAAGAAAACATGAGGAAATAAAGGGGTGAGCTGAGAGAGCGTGACAGATAAGAGCGAAGCACACGTTATAAGCTTAATCTACCTGGCAGGCCATCTAAAACGTCAGCTGATAAACGAAAAGCAACACGTTTCTCACAGCAGTTCACAGCTCAGTTACAACTGAAAGGCTGGAGTGGAGATTAAGGAGAAGGAAAAATAAATATACACACCACACACACACACACACACAGCTAGACATAAACCTAAAAGTCTTTCTCCAACTCTGTCCAAAGTATTGATGTGATGAAACACTGCAAGCTAAACATGACTACCTTGCAGCACTCATGTCTCCAAAAACCGAGCCTCATTAATCTGGTTATATTGCACTATTTGGTGTAAACAGCAAATCAATGTCTGTGCAATGTGTTCATTGTTTGCAGCACTGGAGAAGCGTGAAGCAAAGGAGTTGAAGTTTAGTCTGCAGATGCCTTTGTCTAAATATGTTAATAAACCACATCACTGCATAACAAGACTAAACATGACTATGCTGAATTCAAGTGTTGATTTGTGTATGTGTTAGCATGCAAAAAGTCAGTGAGCCCACAAGATAAGAGAAAATTAATCTCTCATCTCTGTCATATGAATAATAAACTGAAAGCCAAATAACAAATCTGTAAAACCTTAAAAAGCCATGTTTCTCTGATGAGAAATTAATGAGCTGTGACAAAAGAACTAGTTTCAAGCATTTTAATGATTTGCGTGTCACTACATGAGGCCTGTTGCTGGCTTCCCATGTCCGAGACATTCCGAGAGGGGCGGAGCACAGCTGGCCCTCCAGGCTGTCCTAAACTGAACAGCCAATCCAGACTGTTTCAAACTTTTTGGTTAAGTTGGTAAGAAAACATGAGGAAATAAAGGGGTGAGCTGAGAGAGCGTGACAGATAAGAGCGAAGCACACGTTATAAGCTTAATCTACCTGGCAGGCCATCTAAAACGTCAGCTGATAAACGAAAAGCAACACGTTTCTCACAGCAGTTCACAGCTCAGTTACAACTGAAAGGCTGGAGTGGAGATTAAGGAGAAGGAAAAATAAATATACACACCACACACACACACACACACAGCTAGACATAAACCTAAAAGTCTTTCTCCAACTCTGTCCAAAGTATTGATGTGATGAAACACTGCAAGCTAAACATGACTACCTTGCAGCACTCATGTCTCCAAAAACCGAGCCTCATTAATCTGGTTATATTGCACTATTTGGTGTAAACAGCAAATCAATGTCTGTGCAATGTGTTCATTGTTTGCAGCACTGGAGAAGCGTGAAGCAAAGGAGTTGAAGTTTAGTCTGCAGATGCCTTTGTCTAAATATGTTAATAAACCACATCACTGCATAACAAGACTAAACATGACTATGCTGAATTCAAGTGTTGATTTGTGTATGTGTTAGCATGCAAAAAGTCAGTGAGCCCACAAGATAAGAGAAAATTAATCTCTCATCTCTGTCATATGAATAATAAACTGAAAGCCAAATAACAAATCTGTAAAACCTTAAAAAGCCATGTTTCTCTGATGAGAAATTAATGAGCTGTGACAAAAGAACTAGTTTCAAGCATTTTAATGATTTGCGTGTCACTACATGAGGCCTGTTGCTGGCTTCCCATGTCCGAGACATTCCGAGAGGGGCGGAGCACAGCTGGCCCTCCAGGCTGTCCTAAACTGAACAGCCAATCCAGACTGAGATAACACCTGGAGTGGCAGGTGAGCGTGCCACCAGTTTGACAAATGACACCAATTAAACCATTACAGAGCAAGACAGAGGACAGATCTGTGGCACTACAGGAAGAGAGCTGATATGCACACATCATTAACATTGATTCATTTAAGTAGTGCTACATTCAGCACTAATTGATCAAACCTAGAGGAATTGTTCACCAGACTGTAAGGAGCGGAAGGCCATTGGATTTTACAGCATACAGTTGATTCCCCCATTTATTTAACAGATACAAAAGCTCTGACCCCTGATCCCAATTAATGAATTTGGAACACAGATACACAAGATAATTACTAACTGCAGCCGCTTCACACCGAAGCTGTTTGTTTATCTTTTGTTTTGATCCTCTTTGTTTGTTTTCCTCAGTCTCATTCTGCAAACGTCCATATAATGGACATTCTTAGATTCTGGATCCAATTAGCAGCCTCTGAAATCAGCAGTGTTAAGTATTATTTATATACTATTTTAGAATTTATTAATATTTTGAACTAGCTTATATTTTTATATTTTCAGTTTTCATTTTAGTTTAAATTTTAGAAATATTATGTGCTTTTGTCATTTTTATTTAGCTTTTATATTCATTTTCGCTTTAGTAATTTCAATAAACTTATTTTAATTTTTCACCTTTTTTCAGTTTTATTTCAGGTAGTTGTCAATGCAACATTTACATTTTTTAAGCTTATCTTTTTTTAATCTAATATTTGTATTTTATTTGAGCTTTATTTCAATTGATGAAAACAATTTTTATTAATTTTAGTTAACAATAACAACAACCCTAACCTTAAGGTCAATATTAAAACTAAAAGTATGTTAAGTATGCATGAAGTATTAATACAAACTAGACTTGCTACATCTGACCTACAACATCAGCTGCATCACAGTTCCCTGTCATTAACAAATATGACATTCCTCTCCTATGGCCTCATGGAATAGAAAAGCGTCCATGAAAATCTATATAAATTAAACGTACTGTTGTTATTATTAGTTATAAATATAGTAATTATTTCAAAATGGCATAAAACAGCTGTTTTTCTTAATCTTCATCTCATGTGAGTACACATCATTTACATAATACTTATAAAAACACTAGTCATTTTTTTCTTTAGGCATAAAACTTTATCAAAAATGACTGAGCGTACCTTTATGGATAAATAGATCAAAGTTTGACTGGTGGAAACAGTGAGGCATGGGAGGACACCACACTTAAACCCTTTAATAGGTGCAGGTGTGTTTCAGGCTGCAGACATGAAGCAACACAAATCTGGGAGCGTTTTTGGGCTTAGTCACTTCACATTCACTGGCCTAAGCTCCCGAAGAGCGCCGCGCACTGAATTACGCACAGGGAACGCAGCCGCAGTCCTGCGTAATAAGGTTAATTGGAAACAGTCAACACGATGAGTATGAATTAAAAGTAATTGTGATCTTACCGTGTATTTGTAGAGTTCCAATATACAACGTGTCTCTTTGCTGTCGTTGACATAACGTGTATAAACAGCGCCAGAAGTCTCATCATAGCGCAAACTCCAGAACACCTTGGCACATTCATGACTGATGTCGACCAGCTCTTGTGGGTCGCTGATGAAACGAGTTTAAACTGAGATGAGACTCAGTTCCGAGTCAAAACCAGCTGCAGAACTTTACTAGGCGAGGGGAAACACAAATCCCGGATTTTAGTAACATTGAATGCTTTCACTAAGCAAAAGACGCATGTTCTGCTTACTAAATGCAACAGGAGGTTGCATGCTTAAGTTTATAAAGATACAAAGCACATGTTGACGTTTGAGACAAGTTCATAGAGATATTCTTGCGATTCCTTGTGACGTTTAGTATTTCCTTGCGAAGATCTGCTAAGTTTTCCACTTTACGCTGACATAAATATAACTTCCTTTTCTTCAAATGTAAATCCAGTGCTGGTTTACAAGGTCCAAGTTTGACAACAACTCCAGACTTTTCATGAAAGGATAACAATTGTTTGTATTCGCAGGACGCTCTCAATCACGGCCGTTGATAGTTGACAGTGATTAGGAGTGACCGGAGTGCGTTTCTGGGCAGGGCGGAGGACACGGGGGCGTGTCCATAAAACTTTAAACCAATCAATGATACGGGGGGTGGGACCAACATTCCATAGTTTTTGAAGGTGTGCTGAGCAGAGCCCTGACAGCTCCACTTTCACTGAGTGTGGGACAAAATTCTTTCAAGTAATAAGGATTTATTATTATTATTATTTTTTTTTTAGAACAAGAAATTTTCAAGAAATTAAGTTTTATTCCCCAAGGACACATTCAATTGCTAAAAAAAAAAAAAAAAAGACCGTAAAGACATTTATAATGTGACAAAATGTTTATATTTCAAATAAATACTGTTCTTTTGAACTTTCTATTCATAAAAGCATCCTCAAAAAATATTCCACAAAATCCACAAAACAATATTTAGTAGCATCACTGTTTTCAGCATTAAATTAATTGTTAAAAAACTGTTATATAGTTAAATTGTAATAATATTTCACAATATTAATGTTTTTACTGTATTTTTGATTAAATACATGCAGCCTTGGTGAGCATGAGACACTTTTTAAAAACATTACTGACTCCAAACTTATGATCGGTAGTGTATGTTTAGGCTATGTATATATGTATGTGTACATATTATATTACTTTAATAATACATAATTATATAATGTTCTTTTATGATGATGTTTTTGTTAAGCTATTGTCACCAAATGATTGGCTGTTTGGTTAACCAGAATAACTAGCTCTGTAACAACATTTAATCGGATCCATTTAAAACCCACTGAACATAAAGGACATTTGTTTGGCAGAGAAATCTCCACAGTTAATACACACCCGAAACCAAAAACACCTCCTCAGAAACTGGTTATTCATGAAAAGAGCTGTTTTCCTTCACCATTGGGAATGTATTACGCGTGTATCAGCATTAGTCCTAAATTACTTTTGTCCTTCTCAATGTGTTGTTTTCACATACTTTGTACGTGTTTATTTTTTTTATCGATTCCTTTTGCTCACTCTTTCAGAATTCCAAGAAGCCAGGATGAAGTGACATTATTCCATACTTTAGTAGTGCATGAAGAAGTATCCTTGAAGTTGTTTTAAGTGCTCGACAGCTTCTGGAGACTTTGGCTCAGGTCCTGCTCGTCTCTGTGGGAGTCTACATGTTTTGTGTTTGTATGTGTACGTGTGAATGTGTTGATAGGTAAGGGAGATGCAGAATTAATTCACCTTGCTGACAACAGATATCCCGGGAGAGTGTGTGTGTTCAGGCAGTAATCACTGTGGCCACTGTGTGCAGCAGCAGTCGGTGGTCCCTTGTTATTATCTGTGCGTGCTAAATTACCGGTTCAAGATGTGAGTAATGTGAGGCAGGTAAGACCAGCAGTGCAGCAGGCCCATCACTCTTAGCAGCAGGTGGAGAGTGTTCGCCAATGGCGTTGGGAAGCACGGCGGTGGGTATATTCGGTTGCTAATTCTTCCAAGTCTTCCCCTCGCTATGGCACAACCTATTAATTCCCCTGTCCTCTTCTCATTAATATCACATGATTGTGTGGTGGAGTCTTCCCCTGTGTGATTTGTCCCTCTGGAGGATTTGCAGTCCCCGTACAATGAAGCAGAAGTTCCTCGTTCCCTCGCTCTCACGAACGTGGGATAATTACACAAAAGGTCTCACCCACCGAGGCTTGAATTGGCCTCTTTGGTTATTATCTAATTAATAAAGCAGCATGATAATGGGCAGCACATCCACAGGAGAGAGGTATTCACGCCTGGGCTTTCGTATCTGACTCTGTGTCATTTCCTGACCGCAGTTTTGTCCTGTCTCGGAATTAACTGGATATATCCAGGTTTTTGTGGCAGTGGAGCGCAGCTGAGAGCCCTTGTGGAGGTCATATGTGCAGCGCAGCAGAGCTCTGATTTATATAAATGAAGTTCTGGGTGCCAGTGGTCCATATGGGCCGGGTCTGGGCTTTGGGAGTCTCAACAGTGCTGCGGTAATTAAGAATCGGGGCTAAACGGGGAACAGTCACCTTGTGCTCCTCCAGGAGCCGCTCTGAAGTGTGTTTCCTGCTCCTGCAATCAGGTGTTGTCCCAAAACTTGCGTCCCAACCTCACCCTGCTCCTGTTTTATGTAGTTTTAGTAAGCTGAACAAGAGCACAGGTTGACAGACAGTCAAAGGTATACACTGTAAAATGATTCCTGGTTAAAAAAGATTATATTTATGATTGCAGATATTTATGTTTGTCTACTATTCTGAAAAGAAAGTGAGTTGCATTCAGATAGGCCTGCACTGAAAAACACTAAATCATTTTTATTAATTTTTTTGCGTCATGTTCGCTGCTGTGACAAAGGCTGTAAAGGAGAAGTTGTGCGAAAAGCCCTTATATGGAGATGGTTTGGGTGTGTTTTGTGCAAATTATTAACCTTGGGCATGAGGCCACTCTTTTAGAATACACTAAAATCATTAACATTAGAATTAATGTTCATTAGGAACAAAATCACGTGCATACACACGTGTTGTGAATATTTTTCGTGAGAAGTTCTCTTGTGCGTACAAATATAAAATAATGAACTGTTTTTATGATATGTGAATGAGACCCGTTAGCTGTAGCAAACTCAAAGAGAAAACTGACCGTAGACACTGATGATGCTAAAACCTGCTGTAGCGCCCATGAAGGCAATGTTGAGAATACAACACACAATTTTTGCACTATGAATTGCAGTCTTAAACATTTCACAATAAACGCACAAAATCTTGTGAAGCTTGTGTAGCTAAAAATATCTGCATTTACATACATTTGCATACATGTAAATGTATTTATTTAAAGATACATTGCAGATTTCTTGGTTCTCTAAAGTGGCTTCATTAAATTGTGTAGTCTTACTGTAGCCAAGCAATAACATTTTTGAGAACTTTTTTTATGCAGTGCCTTAAATTTTAATAATAATAAAAAAACTATGTTCAAGAAATACTCAGTGCTGTACAGTGCGACATGCATGTTGCACATGCTACAGTCTGTGCAAGGAATAAATGTATCACTGTAGCTCACGTGCAATACAGTTTTGCATGTGTTCGAGGCAAGGTCACTTGTTTGTGTGAAGCGAGAGTTTGTTGTGTGCTTGTTTGAGTGTGAGGTTAATCAGTGGTGCACCACTAATTTACTTGGTAGATGTACTCTATTGTATGATTCAAAAATCATGTCTCGGCTGTATTGAGTCCATACACCCAATTCCATTGGTAAAAGAGTTATTTAAAGTAATGTCTCCTCACAGACCCACAGATCTGTCCTGCTAATTTGGAGTGCAATGTTGTTGAAGTGTAAATGGATTGTGGATTGTGATATTGGGCTATATAAACAAAATTAAGCAAGAGGTGTTATGTTCCTGCCACTTTGGGCAAATAAAGAGAATGTTTGTCTGAAAACATTAAGGCGGTTGGATTTTGTGTGTCCTGCATGCAACATTAATGTCCTTTGCCAGTCACATGCCTGTTTAAGTGATGAACTACACTACTTGTAGTTGTTTTTAGAGATGTAACATGCTTTTAATATTTGTGCTACAATTGTGTGGCCTGTGCTACAGTACAAAACTTTCAACTTCTGTAGCACCAATGCTATGTGCAAAAAACGTTAACATACAGACCTGTTAGTTCAATCAATGTTCATTACAGTACATTTCTAACTCATTTCTAACATTCTCAATGATCTGTTAAGCATTAAATGATGCAGTCATAGTAGCTAAAAGGAACAGTTCATCCAAACATGAAAAAAACTCTGTCATCCAAAAACTCTGTCACATGAGAGTGAGTAAATGACAGAACTTACATTTTTGAGTGATGTTCAAAATGATAGTTATTAGATATGTTACAGAAAACAACCTGGGTCTGTAAAGGGTAAAAAGTTTTCAACTTAAGCACTCGGCTCTCCGTAACATGCAATTTTCTTAAAGACAATGCAGAATTAAGTACATCATTTTGGACAATTCAAAACTATGTACACTACAGTTCAAAAGTTTGGATGGAGTGTAATTTGTTTCATGTTTTTGAAAGAAGTCTCTTATGCTCACCAAGGCTGCATTTATTTGATCAAAATACATTCAAAACTGTAATATTTGTTATTTATTTTAATGTATTGTAAAGTGTAATTAATCCTTCTAATGACAAAGCTGATGATTTGCCTGTTTTCAGTGTCACATGATCTGTCAGAAATCATTCTAATATGCTCATTTGGTGCTCAAGAAACATATTTCATCATTATCATTAGTTGAAAGCAGTTGTGCTGCTTACTGTAACATTTTCAGGATTCTTTCATGAACAAAAAGTTTAACATTTATTTGAAATAGATTTTTATAACAATGCAAGTCTTTACTTGCCCTGTTGATTAATTTAATGCATTCTTTCTGAATAAAAGAAAAAAAGATATAACTAACCACAAACAATCGAACAGTAGTGTAAATTAAAAGGACCAGTTTGCAAAGAACTCTTTTTAAGTTGACACTTTTGAAATCATCTAACATTTGCTTGAATTAAGCAGAATTGACTTAAAAGCCGTGCAAACTTTTCTCTTCCTTTTTGAAGTCTAATAAACAACTATTTTTATATAGTCTAAGTAAAGCATGAGGTTAGTAGACAGCAGTTGGTCTTTCTCTCTCCCCATAAATCCCTCAACCCTATCAGTGTTACTTATGTCCTCCTCGCCTCCCTCATTTCTCTGTTGTTTCTCTCTCTCCGTCCCTGTTGTACTCCAGCTGTCAGGGGAGAGTTAATCCAGTTATCTGTACAAGCGCAGACAGACAGTCTCACACACATACACAAACACACATTTTCCCATCCGCCATACTGTAATCAACCAGACTGTACACACCACTCTCCCCTCTATAATTAACTTTCCTCTCAACCAGTGTGTAACACACACACGGACTCACAGAGGCACTGCTCAATTAATTAGGCTGCCCACATGCAAACTCGAAGGGAGTGAGAGAGAGAGAGAGAGAGAGAGAGACTGG